AATGTGGGACCCTTCATATCATGTGTGTGGCACGTAACCTCGGCATATTGCATTTCTGGGATCTTTGACCTATTGGGCCTCCTTTTGACTTTTCATTGATTGTTGTGCCTACGTGGCATTGCTTCTTTAGACCTTAGAATCGAGGGGTAACAACCATCACCATAGAGAATGCACGCTTTGAATCATCACCATAGAGGAGGATACTACAAGAACAATATAGTCCCTTATCTTTTGGCTTGTATCCCTTCTTTACGATCTCCTATTGTAACCCGAGCAATGCCTTTATCTTAATTCTCTATTTTTCATGATTGCTCTTCTCAAGATATGAATATTGAAAGGGAACAGTCCCATTTTCCATCTCTTAACGTTGACTCTAATCCTTTGCCAAGAAAAGGACTACATGGATAGTAAATTTTTTTTTTTTTCAGAAAAAAAAAATTGAGAAGTGGAAGAAGCTAAAAAAAAAAAACTCAGCTAGCACAATAAATGCATCTTCCAACTATATACATTCATTAAATACTCTCTAATATAAAATAATTCTAGATGATGGATTATTCTAGAGTAAGGGCAATTTTAGAACATAACTATTATAAATGTGAACTTATGGATACGCGTATAAGACTAACATTAATTAATTTGCCCTTATGATGAGTTTATTTCCACTTCACAAAATGCACTCCTGGAAGGATTGTAGCATCACAAAAAATCTTCAAAATTACAATATTAGTTGGCTCAAATCAAGTTTATTTCACAACTTGGACTCTTCAAATGATTGTAGCAACTAAGAAATATTCGAAGTACAATACGAATAGAAAACATGAATCTTGAAACACGAGAGAGAAACAATTTGAAATACTAATAATGACTGCATTATTTATTATTATTATTATTATTAAGATATACTTGTGCCCTTGATTACATAAGAAATTGCGACTTTGAGCATCATGACAATATCAAATGCACGATATCCCCAGAAAATTTGAATGATTTCTCAGTTTCTTCCAAGCAACGATTCTTCTCTTCCTTAGTCCATGTCTGGCAAAATAACAAAAAGAGGAAACATTTGCGTGTAAAGATAAAAAGGGAAGGGAGCCTAGGTCTAAGTAGCATGAGTTATCATAAAATTATATTGTGAAAAATGGTCTATAATTAAAAAGATTAATCAAATTATTCAGAAAAGTAGGGTCAATAAACAAATTACTTCAGCAACCCGGTTCAGCTTCTCCCGAACGTTTTGCAACAGTTGTGACAGGTCTCCACCCATTTATAGAATTCCAACTCTTTGTTGTTAAGAATCTTTTGTGCTACCTGATGGAAAATAGGCCATAATTTGAGTATAAGAACTTAGATCGCTTTAGTAAATATCTAATTGAAACTACAAATTTATACATAGCTTGGAATAGAGTTCAAACAATTAAGCTCAAAGAATACGAATAAATTAAAGTTCATTTTCAAAAATAGATATTCTTTACCTTCGTCCCCATCAGTCGGCCCCCAGCTGCATGGCCAAAGTATCTAGTGTTGAAGTGGCAAATTAAAGCTTGAGGATCCTTTCTGGATAGCTCTTCCAAATACTGGGCATAGCTAACGCCAAGAGAAGATGGTTGTGGGATGGCGTGACCTTGCAATTTAAACCATTCCAAATCTTTTGCAAGACCTCTTGACCTCTCTAGTCCTGTGTTCTTAAACTCTGCATCTGTACAAAAAACAGCAAAATGAGTATGAATTTCTCACTAAGGTGACACTCAAATTACCAGGTCGTATTGAATAGGATTACACGTGAGATTAATTTAATTTTCTTCGCCCAATATCTCGAGTTAATTATAATTTCTTATAATTTCATATATATGGATATTTCTGTATTTATGTTACTGCAGGTGCAGTCGAAATATTATGTAACTGGGTATCAGAATATTTATGAGATAATTAGTATATTATATATTAAAACTGGGGGATAGAGATGAAGAGTGGACAAACATCTGCGCAACTCAAGTTACGAGTACCATGTGATGGGATCTCAAATACCATAGATTGGCATGTGTACTAGTTGCTACATTTCTTGTCACTCACATCTCCGCATAGATTTAGCAATAAAAATAACGAATTTATGAAATAGCAAAGAAGGATTCATGTCGTTGATGTCAAATCTGCTGTAAATGAAGAAAATAGGCAATTAGTAGTCTTGTACTGAAAAGAAATGTTGTAAAAAATAAATAAAAGAAACTCACATTCAGGAAAAGTGGCTTTGTCTATGATGTTCTCCATGGTATCATAAACCAATTTACTATCCACCAAGAACTTCAAGTACCCCTCAAGACTAGGCTCCCATTCCGCCATAGGCTGACCCACAGGTTCCTTCGACTCTCCTTCTCTAGCCTGCTCTCTTGTGTGCAATTTCATTGCAACAGATCTCATCTCATCCACAAAGCCCTTGGCCTCTCTAGGATACCTCTTTTTCGACTTCTGAGCATCTCCTGCAGCTGAAACCACAACCAATTTTGGTTTCTTCTGAGAAAACCTTGAGATGGGCATTGATAAAAACTGGGCATTAGGCTTATTCAAGATTGTGAATTGAGGTTTCTTGAATAGAGGTAATTGGGAATGTGAAATGATTGTCAGGGAAGCCATCACAAGAATGAGTTCAGACTTCAAATGTGTATCAAGAAATAGCAAGTGATATAGAACCACGAGCACCCGTCTAGATGACAAGTGCATGAATTAAATGCAATGTCACACGATTAATTTAATTGAATTTATCAAATGTAGATTGGTGCTCGAACATCAGTAAAATTAGATATTATTATTCAAATAAGATAAGAAAGTTTTTCAATTAAAAAAATCTGAACCTATCTTGAGTAGGGTTGTAGGATAAGACATTTTTTTACAGAATGTCAAATTTACCCTAAAATTATTTTTGCACGATTACTTTAACCATTTTTTACCATTACATAAACATCATCGATCCCACATGATTGGATAAAACCCTAAAATTGCGAGGCTAGACAGGTGCATAAACTGCAAATGGCTTTCTATGTACTCTAAAATCTATAGGCTTGTAGATATAAGAGGAAAAATTCATTGTTCAATGGTGGTTTGTGTTATGGAGAGAGGGAATATTAGTCAACAAACTTGGTTGTATTTTATCAATGACAAAAGTCTCATATTTATAAAGAATGGTCATGAATACAATGATAATAATTTTTAAGATTGTAAGAGTACAATTGTCATTCACTAATAAACTTACTATTCACAACACTCACCTTAAATGGTACATTATAAAATATCTACCCCAGGGCATAGCTCGATGGTGCAAAAAACATGAGTGCGGTAGTCTCAGTTGGGCTGACAGCCGCACTGTGAGAGTTTGATTTCTGCCTCTACAAGGTATGAAATTAGACTCTTTATGGGTACCAGTATGACAACTCTTATATTCTGGCCCGCTGAGACATATCCTGCGATTTACCTCCTCTACAATGCTTTAGGGGAGGGGCGGGGTGGCGGGACGGGGCGGGCCCTCATGGTTGGGGTTCAAGCGTTTATTTATTTATAAAATATCTACCTCGTTAAAACCTTATTTGATAAACATTCAATGAGACAAAAATTATATTTGAGTTGTGCAATACAAATTATATTGTCTTCATACAAAATTATTGAACTATCTTTTGTTGAAATTAATTTGTATGATACTTGAATATTATGTGTCATATTTATCAACTATACACATTCTCGACCCACTTCATGGATTGCAATAATTTCACAATGATTTGAAAATGATGCAGTCAAGGTTTGCTTCATAGATTTCTATAATATAGTTGTTCCTCCACGTGTAAACATATATTCTATTTGTAATTTAGTTTTATGTGGATCAGCGAGATAACCTTCATCTGCATATACCACTAAAGCAGATCCCGACTTTTGGGAATAAAATAATTACAAATCAGTAGTANTACCACTAAAGCAGATCCCGACTTTTGGTAATAAAATAATTACAAATCAGTAGTATTTTTCAAGTAACGAAAAATATGTTAACACCATTCCAATGCCTTTGAGTTGATGTAGAGGTATATCTTGCAAGGAGATTTACAGAAAAAGTTATGTCGGGTCAAGTGAAGTTTTTAAGGCAGGTTAATGCTCTAATAGCACTAATAATATATAGTACTTCAAGATCTAGGGGGATTACATTTTTAAGTGTTCAAACTACGACTCCAAAATACTTTTCGTTTCTTTAAAGAATTCAATTATGCTTGTATAGCTTCTTTCCATTTTGGTCAATCATTTCTATGATAACTGTCATTGTGGTTCAGGATCCTCATTTTGCATAATATCAAAATTTACGTTAAAAGCCAAAATATTGTCTATAACAACATTATCTCGTTTTCATAATTTATAAATAACATATAATTTATTGAAATCTCATTATTTTCGGACATTTATAGTTCTTTGGGAACCATATTTCTAATATTTGATTGATCAATTTTTTCTAATATTATTTCTTTCAAAGTTTTTGGTTGAGTTTTCTCTTGTACTTTTCATTTTTAAGGTAAAAAGTCTTTTGAACCAAACTGGTCGACCATACTTTTGGCGTATTTAAGATACATTTGATACAATAAATTATCTTCCAGGGACATTAATTTTTGCTGGAATATTTTGTGCCGGTATATATGACTTTGTTACTTTTTCTTGTATCAACAAATATATCAGGCAATTGATTTGCAATTCTTTGTAAATGAATGACTTTTTCAACATCTTGTTCATATTGATTGTTGCGAAGATAAAAGTGGGATATAGTTGTTTTATTCAAAAAAAATTTACCTTATTTTTTAGGATGTAGTTTATACCTCCCAAAGTTTGAGAAGTCTTTTTATCAAAATGATAACCTGCAAACCGTTCAGTAAATAGATCACTCGTTAAAGATTCAAGATACCTAATAATAGATGGTGAATCAAAATTAATTTAAATAATATGATTAAATATTGTATAATCACATAATAATTAATCAAGTAATCAATGTCAACATGACATGAGTCATATGTTTTCCTTAGGGATAAACACTAATTCAAAATTATATATTTTCGAAAGTAGAGCGTTATTTTTTATCAAGAGCAATATATCAATATTCTTCTAGAATATTTAAAATTATGATTTATGCTCTTAAGGAGCAAGTAATATTCTTTTGAAATATTAATTATAATGTTATACTACTATAGGAGCAACAACAAACTATTTGTAATAGACAGATCTATAATTAATATTTTTCTGAAATATTAATTATAAAAATGTGCTACTTTAGGAGCAACAACAAAAGAATAAATTCAATAATTTATGTTTTATTGTTAAACATTAGAAAATCGATGACATAACCAATATAGAATGCACGAATAATTAAATAATTACTAAACATTCATTAAATAATTGAGTACATAAACCATTCATTAAATAATGGAGTATGGTGAAACCATTGCTAAACATAGTAAGCAATAATTCATGCAAACATATTTCGAATGCATCATTACAGACATACAAAAAGAATGCATGTGCTGGCAACAAAATAATCAAGTAGTGGGATGCATTGAGGCAATAATAAAATAGATCAGATGCATATGTCAAACAATTCGGCAGAATGATTTGCGGTACAAAAAGCTTGGCTTCTCTCTCTAGTTCGCCGACAAAAAAAATTGCCGCATATCATCGGAAAAAAAAAAAAAAAATTTGATTTGAACATACTATCGAAGAGAGAATATGAGTCAATAAACTTGTGACCAAAGTCTCATATTTATAGAGATGGATTATGGATACAACAGTAATAATTTTTACAATTACAATTCACTAATAAACTTACCGTTTGCAACATAGTGGCGTATATAATAATTATTAAGTCAATTGGCATATCTTTCTCTAGAATTTTGAA